TTATCAAGAATCAATTTGAGGAATTGTTTGTCATATAAAGTGTATATACCATACCATACCATTATGCAACTGCATCTTGTGAAATGAAGTTCATTCACACAAACTTTAATCAAGACAAGTTTATAAAAATAGCGTCTTTTTAAAGTTTTCCCTATCCACATGACTCAGAAATGGATGCCAAAAGAAATAGAACGTTATTTGAAATGAAGGTTAAGAGTAAAACTAACAGCACCTTACACTTTAATTACACTACTGGTACTCGCATTGATTACCAGTACCAGTAATGGCTTAAAAATCTCCCTTTTAGTGTGTCAAATTCATTTAGGAGACCACATAGTCATTACTTGATTTCGTAAGCAAGAGCATAAAATAAAACCATACATGGTAAAAAAGAAAATCTGCCTTAAATGTTATGTACTATTCTGTTCTGATATCTCCTGTTCAGAATGACTGCATTACATGTACCTGTGATATACCGGTTAACTCTGTACAGAATTCACTTAGTCTTGGACATTCTTGTGGTTGTACATAATGATGAAACTCAGATTCTATATCACCAGTCTTAGTATTCAATAAGACAGCAGGAAACTCAACTAAATGAATGAAAACAGGAATATTATGTCATTTTTTTTATGTGTATTGTAGAATATTTTCACTGAAAACTGTATGTTGGTGTATTACTTTTGCTAATTTTTGGTAGATTGCATGCAAAGTATAGAAAACAATTTTGTCTGGTGATTGTTTTTGTCCATCACATAGTGTTCCATTCTCTTTCGTTATCACGTCAAATGTTTATATTACCATGGTTACATATGTCAGCTGAACATTGGACACAATGACGGCTCTCACCCGCTAGAAACCCCCTTGGCCATTTACGAATAACATCTTTTAAACGGTACATGCAAAATTAAATATGTTACATCAAAGCAATTAATAAGTTGATGCAATAAAACTCTATATAACAAATCACTTTCCGTATTTGGCATTTAACAGAGTATTACTCTATGTTCTATCGGCCTCATGCTGCACAACACTGTAATTCTCTAACAGAAAATCATGCAGAGTTTCTATTGTTCCAAAAGTTTATACAAAGTAAGCCTGCTAGGCTACCAGTGTAGAGTGTTATCATATGTACATATATTTAGGCTATGAGGTGTTGAGTTCCAGCTACATGTCCTTTAGATTACTGATGTAAAACAAGTCAAATAGACGATAATAATCAGACTAACAATTGACACAGTATTCATGATTTACTTGAAAACACAATTAAAACAATGATGGATATTGTAAAAATATTATACTTACTAACTTCTTGCATGGTTGTTTTTCTATCACGCCAGCATGTAGACTCAAAGTCAATCACAATTAAATAGGAAAATATCTGATCTACACAAAATAAGTAACAAAAACATGTATTTTAATTATCAAACATCAATAAGTGGGGTAAAATATGTCAGCCAAATATTAAATTTTGTATTGCACAAATTTGTGGTATATTTTCAAAAAATAATTTGTTATTATCACAGAAAAAAATATATAAGAGTCTTGAACTAATTGAATATATAAAATGTTTTCCAAATTAGTATTAGAAGCTCTGACAGAATCATACAGAACCAAAAATTGCATTTATTGTATGGTGGCAAGCTTATTAAAATAAGATTTATTTTTACCATTGACACTCCACTGTCATTTATGTACATGTATGTGAATGCGCTACAAATAGAGAAAATATAGTAAATGTGAAATCACTGTATGCAGTTTTACATGGATGAATGTACTGAATTGACACCTCACAGGATTTTCTTGTAGAATGACACGGACATACCATAACCCTTGCAGCCTACCAAAGCCTGTAGGGATTTCCCTGCTAAATTGGTCAGCAGGTGAAATTTTTGATGATAATAGCCTTGAAAAAAAAAGAATATTTTTTTTTTTTCAAATTGTTTTTAATTGTTTATTTTTTTTTTAGCTAAAATATTTGATGAACAAATTTGCAGTTTTAATCAATTTGCCAACAGAGGGCGCTGTGCAATGGCAGGTTTAATGAGTTCCCTCAAATGTTCCATACTGCCATGCGAGGGCACTGCAAATACGTCATTCACGGGTATCGAACTGTTCGGATATAGTGTATGGTGGGTTCAAAAATGAATAATGTGACTACATTGATGTATGCGAATCACAACTTTGTCACTTAAAAATCTTTTCATTTGACAAATTTTTGCACTTGTGCGGAAAATAAAAAAATATCGCAAAATATGGAGCAATTATGACATGAGCATTAGTGTTAAGGGCATTACTGTTCCAGTAAGAGCTCCTTAATGTTGGATTTAAAGGCCCAGGTATACTATAAGTACGCTTATTATTTCCTTGAAAGTCACGCTGAAGTAAACAGCTTCAGACAAGCTCCGATAATGACGCGTTTTCTCGAAATTCTCGACTATGAATATTTATGTAGCATTTATGACAATACCGGTACATGTAAATAGTTTACGAGTTGGGATTTTGTCGGATAAACGTCAAAAACACAAACTGGAATCAAAGAAAGCTTAGAAAGAACTCCCGTGTGCTGAGGGAATAGGGATCATGATCTAATATTCGGGAATATTTGAAAATGATAAACAAATTATGAATAATCTATTAAATAAGGAGGCACCAGTAGTCATCTACACAAATAGACATTGTATACCTACAATAAGCCTACTTAAAAATATGCATAAAAAGTCTATACAAAACATTAAAAAGAAAACTGAAATAATTCATAAAACATTGGGGAAAATGAAATGCAACGAAAATAGTAAACAAATAAATGCCCAAAATAACTTGTAGGGCATTTAAACATATTTTAGAAATTTAGTTAACACAGAAAACGTAAAGTAGCAAAAACAACTATGTAAATTTCTGACAAACAATCTAAATATCTAAAATTCAAACCACTATCTTAATATCAATATGTGTTTCAATAAATATTATATTTATTTATTTTCAGTTACGTATATTAATAAAGAAAGCATCACAATCTTTTGGATTGGTTTCATATATCCCAAAAATCGACATGGTAAAATTACAACCATCGTACAGCTCAGAACCATAACAAATAATAATAATTTACGGCAAACGTACTTCTCGGTACATAAAA